GATGATCAGAGCTCAACCAGAAGAAGAAAGATGAGGGAAAAAAAAAGAGTAATCTGATACAATTTGATGAACTTGACCTACACGTATGGATGCAGTAGCTCAAAAGAGGGAACAAGTCCTTACAGGAAGAATCATTCCCACCCCCTCCATACACAGAGTAGACAGGGATGGGCAACTTGGACATTGGCTACCCAAAATGGAGGGGGCGGGGGGCTACAAAGGCAAGAAGTGACTGACTTACAAGCTTTCAAGAGGGAGCCTAGATCCAGATGGCACGGAGGAAGGTAGAATCTCCACTAAGTAGTATCCAATCTGTCTAGGTGGGGCTGATGAAAGGAGACGGGGATAGGTCTCTTGTGATACAATAGTGAATAATTGTAATCAGGACTGATTGTGGGGGTTGCAAATGTAAAGGTAGACATTTTATGGCAAAAGGAGGGAAATGATTACCTTTCCAGTCTGGTCCCTGGGACTACCAATGGAGAACAGCCAAGAGCAGGACCCTACCCAGAGAAGCAATAACACCAGAGATGGAGGCAGAGACAATGACGTGGAGTGATGGAGCAGCTGGGGACTCTAGACCCAGAGAGGGAGAGGGGCTGTGTGCTGACAACCAGGGGGCGGGAGGGAGGCTTGCAGGGTCTACCCTTTGGTTGGTTGATGATGCATGGAGGGGATTGTAACCATGGCAATGAAACGATATATGATAGAATGAATGTAAAACTAATGTTCTCCCATGTAAACTATCACATAATTCACAATAAAACATTAAAAAACAAATGCAAAAATGAAGCACCTGCTGTTGTTGTTGTTGATGCTGTCAAGTTGGTTCCGACCCACAGCAACCCTGTAATAGGATTTCTGAGGAGCGACTGGTGGATTTGAACCACCAACTGTGTGTTTAGCAGTCCAGTGCTGATCTTACAGCGCCACATCATGACTCCAAACAAAGCACCAAAACAGTGAGGAAAACACTTCAGCAACTTTGTACTGAAGAAAAGAAGCTGAAGGAATACCATGCTTTTCATACAATATATTCAGTAGTATGAACTTGGTAGCACAAAACTGCAAACTAAAATTGAGGTGTAAAACTCAGTATATACTTACAGAGCACTTTCTGACTGAGCTATCCTTGAACACAGATTGGTGATGATGTGCCACCGAGTCAGGTCTGACTCACAGCAATCCTGTATAGGGTTTCCGAGGCTGTAAATTTTTACAGGAGCTGAAAGCTTCATCTTTCTCCTGAAGAGCAGCTAATAGATTCGAACTGCTGCCCTTTCAGTTAGCAGCCTGCTGATAACTCCCTACGCTACAAGGGTTCCTTAGCACAGAGATTATAGGTGCTCCATGCTGTTATAAAGGAGCTCTGGTAACGTAGTGGTTACGAATTTGGGCTGCTAACCTCAAGGTCAGCAGTTCGAAAGTACTAGCTGTTCTGCGGGAGAAAGATGAGGCTTTCTGCTCCCGTAAGGATTTACAGCCTCGGAAACCCTGCACAGGGTCACTATGAGTCGGAACCGACTCCACTGTATATAACAACAACAACAACCTGCTGTTATAAAATGGGCTATATTGCTAAAACTTTTTAAAAAGTGTCACAAGAATGCACAGTATTACAACATTATTTCTCAAATAACATGCACATGCATCATGCAGTGTTTCTCCCCAAACCATGCAAGCCCCTGGTGGGCTGCTTTTCTGTGCCCCCTACGTGCATGTGCTCGTGAGTTCTGTGGCTGTGTTCTACGTGGAAACACAAGAACGTCACCAGAAGCCCTGGGCTGCCAAGTGAAAGGCTCTGCGGGAGCAAGACCCGGTGACCTGCTCCGGTAACAGTGACAGCCCAGAAGGCCCGAGGTGGCAGCTGGACTTGTCAGCAACCACCAAACACTGCATTCACCTTGTTAATGCATTTCATTACTCCGTGAGAAGGTCCCTAAGGGTGGGTAATACTCTGCCTGGACTGCACAGTTCAAACGCATCAGATGCTCCTCAGAAACCCTACAGAGAGTCGCTATGGATCAGAACTGACTCAACGGCACTTAACAACGAGGACTTTGTAAGTAATCCTTAACTCTGGGCCCCAAGAGGCTGTAAGATGCCGGCCCCACGCTCTCTCACTCTGGCAGAGCTCACGTGATCAGCTCATCAGTCTCCGATCCCCTGGTCAGCACCAAGGACACCAAGCTGTGGGCTCCACTGCAACCATCACAGGGGTCAACCTCACAATGAGCGAGCTGCAGGGTGGGTGGTGGGGTCTGACAGGAAGATGTCGAGAAGCCTGGCACCCCTGCCCACTTACGATCTCAGAGCTGTCTGAAGGTGTCACGGCGGAGTCGGGCCCTTCGGTGGTGGTCTGGGAGCTGTCACTGATCGGGGAGGAGGCCTGCGTGCCATCGTTAAAGTCCATGGCAGGGTCGGACGGGACAGCACTTATCTGGCTGGAGCTGTGGCTCAGGATGTCCTCCTCGTCCCCGTCGGTAGCTGCGCTCGTCAGATCACAGCTGGCCAGCTCCACCGAGTCCGACTGCAGAGTGTGCTGCGCGCGCGGCTGCTCCGTAATGATGTCGTGTCCTGTGGAGTCGGCTGTGGAGCTCACAGAACCAGGCGTAGACACCCCGGAAGCAGCAGCCAGCTCCCCAGTCATCTCGCCCTTCAGAGAGGCTGAGGAAAAGTAACGCTCGCTCAACCTGTGCTCGGAGTAACGTTACACACTTCCAAAGAACTCATGCCAAGCAAATGAATGAACTACAAACATTCTCCAACAGGGTGAAAGTGCGCCTTGGTGAACCTCAAAGTCAAGACAGGAAGGAACAGTGCATCCTTCCAGCAGTACTAGGACTACCTGCTGTTCCAGTACTTATCAAAATCAGGTATTCTTAAAATGCTGTGGCTTGCAAACACGAAAAAAGGAGGCTGCAAAAAATACGTGGAAAAATTCCACTATCTTTCCATTGCAGTTTTCCACCAACTTTTGCAAGCCCCGTCAACATGGCAAAAGTCACAGCGCCACCTTGAGTTCTGAGGCAGGACTGCTCTAACTCACAAGGCCCAGTGTTGGAAATCATCGTGTTTTTAGGGTGGCCTCTCCTCCTTCCAGGAACCACATTGATTCTGATGCACAGCAAGCCTGGGGTTCCCCAGACTGCCATCTTTACAGGAGCACACTGATATAACTTCCTCCCAAGGAGCAGCTGGTGAGTATGAACCACCAACCTTGCCATTAGCAACTAGGTGCTAAAACCACCGTGCCACCAGGGCTCCAAACAATAAAGCACTCAAGTACTAGCCGAAGAGTTGGCAGTTCAAACCCACCAGGCGGTGCCTCAAATGAAAGGCCTCATCAGAAGGTCCCCGCCTTGAAACCCCCTGAGGCAGTTCTACCCCACACAGGTGGCTCATCCTGAGTGGGAACCCTGCTGAGGAGCTGAGTCTGTCCCTGTAAATCCCACACATGTGCACACAGTGAAACACTCATCACAGAGAGACACACACCATGCCGTCTGCTGGGATCAATCCTGGAGACACCGGGTGGGAGGTCACCATAGGGGGGATCCCTCTGTGGCCCAGGAGACTTGTCATGCTTGTGTGGTTTGTTACACCTCATTTTTATCATCAGAAAAAAAGTTGATTTCTATTTTGCAAAATGAATGAATAAAGAGCAACCCCTGGACCTGTTCAGATGTTCTTTCTCAAATACTGCGGCCTTATTCTCAAGTTATCAAAAAACATTCTCTTGGGTAGGAGTATGAACAACAAAACTCACTCTCATTTACCCAATCATCAGGATCTTAGTCAACAGTTGTCTTTCAGAAGGTGGGCCTAGAACGTAGCTAGGGAGCGCTAATAAAAAATGCAGTCTTCCAAGTCAAATGATCCGTAGGTGTTTGGTAAGCCGTCCCCTCACCACACACCGGGTCCATGAGACTCCTAGCGACCCACCGCCCTTTCCCAGGAGACTCACGCTCAGCGAGCACTCACCAGACATCCAAACAGCCGGAGCCCAGCAGGAAAGTAGCAAACAAAGACAGCACGAACACACAGGTATGAACGAACACGCATGAACACGCACGCACACACGCATCAGCATGGTAACAGGTTGAGACATTCACCACCCCTGCGTGAGCACACGCACCAACGTCCATCATAAGTCAGACTTTGAAAAAAGGTTGAGCCCCCACTGCTTTCGCCAGCTGCCCTCTGACTGCACCCCCATGAAGAGGGGTGTGGGGAGGGAAGGGAACTACCTGCAAAGGCGGAGCTGCTGACGTCAGACCGCGACTCGGAGTCGTCTTCCAAGGCTTCCTCTTCCCCTAGGAGCACTTTCCCTAGTGAAGGACACAGGGGCAGGCCGGCTTAGTGTGTTACCAACGACAAGTGCTCACGCGAGACAGAAAGCCATCCATCCATCCCATGTACCCTCCCGTCTGCTGCCGTCATGGGCAGGCACACTTGTGCACTCAGAGTGCTCAACACACAGTCTGTGGGGGCATTTCATAATGCAATTAAAATCAAGCAGACTGTATGGAGAAAAAGTTCAAAGGGATTCTGAAACTGTCCAGCAAAGCACAGTGAAGCCTTCAAGAGCCCGAACACAACCAGACTGCCTGGTTTCTCCAGATCTCACAAGTTTTCTGCCTTTGACAGGAAGTCTTATCATTTTTCTACCAGTTGTTTTAGGAGAAAACAACCTGGAAATCTGTTTCTGCAAAGATGTCAGCCTGGGAAACCCTATAGAGCAGTTTTGTGCCCTACAAGGGCGCTATAAGTTGGCAATGACACTGAGGCACTCAACAACAAAAGCAGGATCCTTGACTGAAGCACAAGTCAGTAACCCTGACAAATGAAGTCCTTAAGAGATGGAGCTGTAGCTACAGGAAGCACTTTCTTTCCTGTTCTGTGGAGCCCTCCCTAGTTATGGGGGGTTCTGGAGGTAGGGGTGCTGTCAGACAGGAGACACAATCCCAACTCCAACTAGAACCTGTTCCGCCGAGCCTCCCGAGTCATGGAGGTGCTGGGGGGTCTGCTGTCAGGGAGGAAATACCAGAATCTGTTCATGGCGCCCTCCTTGTTATGGGAGACCCAGGCAGTGTGGGATGCCGCTGTTAGAAAACAGGCCAGACCACTCCCCTAAATCCCAACTCCAACCAGGACGAGGCTGCTGTCATCTATCTAATATACCAGCAGATTTTATTTGGTGGGGGAAAAGATTTTTCTGTAAAGATCAATGACTTTTCTGCAACACAACTCTTAGTGAGCAGAGAAAAAGAGAAGTTAAAAAAGCACCAGTCCTAAGACTACAGTGTGAGCTTGGGGGTCTGCCCTGTGCCCCAGCAGCTCTGCCAACACGGGGAACCAGCCGTCCTCTACACCTACCACTGGGGGTGACTAGGAGGCAGACAGGTGTGGTCAGAACCACACATCACAGGCCACCGCTGCTTCTGAACTCTGGAACCCAAAGACTCGCTCCCCAGAAACCAGTCAGCTAGGCAACATCTGAAAGCGTCACCAAATCTCACCACACGCCGATGGTGCAAATGTGAGTGGGAGAGTCAGGTGGCACTGCCATTATGGAACGAGGCTGGAGGTCAGGACTCAGCTCCTGTGAACACCTGAGTCAGGGCACAACTCGGGAGCCTTCCCCTGGGAGGTCACTGCTTTTCCCATAGGCATTCTGACTGGGAAGGAGAATCTGACTGCGAGTATGGGCAGGGTGGTGTACCCATACTATAAGATCACAGCAGAGACCTTCTGATTTCCTGACGTTAATGAATTGTATCAGTTAAGTTGAGCACTGATAGATACCCAGGCCCTAAGGGACAGCAGCATTAATCAAATCAAAAAAGGGACTTCCCACACTCCTGACTCGTATGAGACAACAGACACAGGGCAGATCAGCACCTGCCCACGACAGCCTCCACACCAACGCAGAATACGGCTCAGAGGCTACAATGTGGATGGTCAGGCTCCTTCGAGACAGAGGTGGTTGACCCCAGACCCAAGGCACTGAAGACATCTGGAAGGCACCTCGAGAGCCACTTCCTCAGTCCTGGTTCTCAGACTGCAGCCACGTTCCCGCACTGATTAGAAGGGGTCCAGCCACAGACACCAACGCACCACAAAAATACAGAAAGCAGCCAGCAAGATTCAGCACAAGACTCTGATTTCTGAAATAATCACCTTTTTGTTTTCTTGACAGGACAGGGCTGCATGAAGAACCCCCTCCAGCTGTAAATTACAGAAAGTGACAGATGAAAGAAAGTAAGGTAACAAGGGGCTAAACTCCAGAAAGAACCAGAACATAGGCAGACCTCGTAGATATCGCGGGTTCTGTTCCAAACCACGTGGAGAGGAGCCCTGGCAGCAGAGTGGATTATAAGCAGGGCTGCAAACCACAAGGTCAGCAGTTTGAATCTACCGGTAGCTCCACGGGAGAAAGATGAGGCTTTCTGCTCCTGTGGAGATTTACAGCCCTGGAAACCCTATACAGGGCCACTGAGTCAGAGCTGACTAGATGGCCCACCACCACCCGGGCATATATACATTATGCTTGCACTATATGGTGGTCTAAGTGTGTAATAGTATTATGAAGAGGTTTGAAATCGTGTGAGGAAAACCAAAGTGAGCACATGGTCTTCCTCACACGTTGTTCGAAGCAGGGTTGCCACAAACCTCCCATTTGTTTTTTGTGTAGGTGTGTTTCTTTTTTAAAAAAAAACGAAGGCACTATCTGAGAAGCGCAATACTCTGAGATCTGCCTGTGTCTTCAGACTGGAGAGAATGTGGTGACCGTATCTCCACGGGGGTGTTACAACTCTTCAACATTTACCTGCAGTAACATGATTCAATTATACAGTGTCAAATGAGCTACAACAGAATGCATTTTAAAAGGCAAATTAAAAATGTTAGAAATAGCCGATTTGGTCAAGCAATAATCAAGTAGGAATCTTCATTAAAAAGGATTATTTCTACTCACTACTATGCGTTAGGCCTGCACCCCACACAGTAAGAGTCTTCATTACAAGCAACAGTGAATAAGATACAAGAACATTTGCTGCTTGCGGCTCAGGTAAACATTTGAATTCAGACAAGGCCACAGTGAGGTGTCCAGTAAAATCTCTCTAGGGGTCTAATAGGGTCTCTGGAATGGCCTAAACTTCAGTGAAAGACAGTGCTGTGCACACACTTCAGAGACCACGGAGAGGGCCACACTCAGGATTCACGCCCTCCAGCTAGGAGAAAAGCCAGCCATCGCTACTCTCAAGCTGTGTTTAAGAACCTTCTCGTCTTGGATTCAGGGTCCAGTCCCCAAATGTACATGGAATCAGGGCCCAGCCTCCAAGAGTCTAAGGAAAGCAGGGACTGGGCCGTGGAGGGGCTGACTCAGGCATGGAAGGAATTTTCTAGGCCAGCAGAATGGGCAAAAAGGACCCAAAGAGCTGAACAGAAGCCTACAATCCCAGTGAAGTTCCCACTGTGACAGTCCCTGACACTGTCCATCCCGACCTAAGAGGGCGTGAGGACGCCACGCCAGAGTGCTCAGTTTTCTGTGTGGCCTTGTTTCACCTACCTCTGCCAACCTTAGACCTCCTCTATGTCCAATAAAGGCGCTTCCATGCACAGAGGCAAGTCTCCCAGGAAATCAAGCGTCCCCTGCTCAGCAGTGTCAGGGCCGTGACCCTCCTGGGACTCACCAAGGAGCTCCACGATGCTCCCGCTCCGGCTCCGGCAGCTCGGCTCGTCCTGGGCGGCGGCCAGTCGCCCGATACCACCAGCAGTGGTCAGAGCCTGGAGGAGCTCCGGGGGCGGCGTCCTGAAGAGCTGCTGCAGCAGCTCCAGCGCTCCGGTGACCACGTTGTGGTCGGGATGCTGCGTGTGGTGCAGCGTCAGCTCATACACCTGGATGCACAGGAGACATACACAGGAGGGGACAGGGACCATTCGTCTGGCTTTTAATAGGCTTTCAGGCAATTCCTTGGCCTTCCCTTCTCCCCCTACAGTTCTCACTTCCGGTGTGAGATATTAGTTCCCCTGTGACCTGGTCCACCTTGGGAGGGAGGCACTTCCCAGGAAAGCAACAGCATGCCGACAGAGAAAAGAGACCTCGTTTCCCTCCCTATAGGTGTGACTCCGAGTGCAGTCACACTCGGCTAATGTGTCCACATCAGAACCCACTGTCAGACGAGCCCAAACGCCCCAAGGGCAGGACGTCTGATTTCATTGGAGCTTCTGTTTAAGGACCCAACATCCTGCAACTAGAGGGAGTGAACCCAGGGTCCCACCCACTGCTAGAGGGGGTAAATGTAGACTCCTACCTGAGACCCCAATACTAAAGGGGTGAACCCAGGCTCCCACCTGACACCCCACTGCTAGAGGGGGTGAACCCAAGTTCCCACTGACACTCCACTGCTAGACCCAACTATTAGAATGATAGGTGCCACCCGGAACACACACAACTGTTGTTATTATTAGGTGCCATCAAGTCATTTCCGACTCGTAGCAACCTTATGCACAACACAAACAAAACACTGTCCAGACCTGCGCAATCCTCACAATCACTGTAAAGCTTGAACCTACTGCTGTTGCCACTGTGCCAATCCATCTCACTGACCCTCCATTTAACCAAGCATGGTGGCCGTCTCCAGGGACTGGTCCCTCCTGATAATGTGTCCAAAGTATGGAAGGCAACGTCCTGTCATCCTAGCTTCTGAGGAGCATTTTGGCTGCACTTCTTCCAAAACAGATGTGTTTGATCTTCTGGAAGTCCATGGTACCTTAATATTCCTCTCCAACACCATAACTCAGGTGCATCAATTCTTCTAGAGTCTCTTATTCACTGTCCAACTTTTGCATGCATATGATGGTGCAAAAACACCATGACCTGGGTCAGGTGCACCTTAATCCTCAAACTGACATGTTTGCTCTTAAACATTTTAAGAGGTCTTCTGCAATGGATTTGCCTAATGCAATATGTCACTTGATTTCTTGCTGCTTCCATGAGTGTTGATGGTGGATCCAAGCAAAATCAAACCCTTGACAACTTCAATCTTTTCTCCATGTATCATGATGTTATATAATGGTCTAGTGGTGAGGAGTTTTGTTTTCTTTTCACTGAGATGCAACCCAGACCTAAGGCTGTGGTCTTTGATCTTCATCAGTAAGTATTTTAAGTCCTCTTCGCTTTCAGCAAGCAAGACTGTATCATGTGCATATGGCAGGTTGTTAATGAGTCCTCCTCCAATCTTGATGCCATGTTCTTCTTTGTATAGTCCATCTTCTCAGGTTATTTGCTCAGCATAAATATGGTGAAAGAATATAATCCTGGCGCCCACCTTTCCTGATTTTAAAGCATTCAATGTCCCCCTGCTCTGTTCAAACTACTGCTTCTCGATCTATGCACAGGTTCCTAATGAGCACTATTAAGGGGTCCAGAATACTCATTCTCTGGGGAGGGTAAGGCAGAATTCCCACTGAGTAGTTTTCATCTTTTCCAGGTGGGTCTGGTGAAAGAGGTTGGGGGATGATTATGACAGGATTTTATGATTCAATTGTGAGTAACCGTTAGTAGGATTCCATGGGATTGTCAAAATTGTAACGGTAAAAGATGTGTAACAAAAAGGGGGAAGTAAACTTTCATTTCAGGAACCGAGGCTCCCAGGACCATCAAGAAGGAAGAGCAAGAGTGGAGTGTGAGAGTTTACCTAGGAGAGAGACGACAGCAGAGACCCTGGCAGCCAGGGTGGCACGGAGAGACAGAGCAGCTGTGGGCTCTAAGACCCTGGACTGAGGAAGGCTGTGGAGAAGGTGTTCTTCGGACATTGAAATGAATGTATGTGTTTGTTCTGTTGTGTTTTGCATGTATGCACCAAATATTGTTGCTTTGTTCATTATGAAATGTCAAATGAGAATATGGGAAAGCACAGGGAGGAAGTAGGGTAACCGTGGCTTCAGGGAAAGGATTGGCATCACTGAGATGAAACAACAGGTATGATTTGTTGACTGTAAAGCTGATGGTCCTGTCTGTAAACCTTTGAATAATACTGTTATTTACTGGTCTTCCTTGTAAGCAGCATTATACTTCAAGACAGATTCTGAAAAGTTCTTTCTGATGATGAATGTGAGGCCATTCCTCTTCAATGTGTCAAGCCCAGCACAGTAAACCATGTGACTGCCAGATTCACAAAGGCCAAGGCCAGTCCATTAGGCTCCCTAAAGCCTAGGACGTGGATGTTTGTGTGTTCCATGTCAGTGCTGACAGCTTCCAATTTTCCTAGAGTCATTTTTTATACATTCCATTTTTCTTATTATTAATAGATTTACAGCTATTTCACCTCATTTTGAGTTGTGCCCCCATCAGCAAATGCAGGTCCCAAGGGCTTTTCCCCATTCAAGTCACCACGGTCAACTCTGCTTTGAGGAGGCAGCTCTTCCCCAGTCGTATTCTGAGTGCCTTGCAACCTGAGGGGCTCATCTTCCAGCACTATGTTGTTGTTGTTAAGTGCCGTCGAGTTGATTTCAACTCACAGCACCCAACCTTATATAGAAGCAGGTGGGTTTGAACTGCCAACCTTGTGGTTCGCAGTCTAGTGCTGACTGTACAGCACCGCGGCAGGAGGCCATCTGACAATCATGTTTCAATAGTCAACAATCTGGTGCTGTCTGACTGTGTTCCACTGCTATTCACGAGGTCTTCAGAGGCGAAACCTTCAGAAGCAGTCTGTCTCTCCTTCCTAGTCTGTCTTAGTCTGGAAACTCAGGGGAAACCTGTCCAGCATGGTGAACGCTGCTGGTATAAAAACACCAGCAGCATAGCTTCTAGCATCGCAGCCACATGCACACCCCCACAGGGTGACAGACTGACAGGCTAGTGGTGGGAACACACACAGCAATGGGGGGAAAACCGGGCGTCCCATCCTGAACCCACACAGTGAGGGGGCTGAACCCGGGGTCCCATCCTGAACCCACACAGTGAGGGGGTTAAACCCGGGGTCCCACCCTGAACCCACACAGTGAGGGGGCTGAACCCGGGGTCCCATCCTGAACCTATACAGCAAAGGGGCTGAACCAGGGGTCCCACCCTGAACCTATACAGTGAGGTGGGTGAACCCGGGGTCCCACCCTGAACCCACACAGCGAGGGGGCTGAACCCGGGGTCCCACCCTGAACCTATACAGCAAAGGGGCTGAACCAGGGGTCCCACCCTGAACCTATACAGTGAGGTGGGTGAACCCGGGGTCCCACTGAACCCACACAGCAAAGAGACTGAATCCGGGGTCCCACCCTGAACCCACACAGCGAGAGGGGGTGAACCCAGGGTTCCATCCTGAACCCACACAGTGAGGGGGCTGAACCCGGGGTCCCACCCTGAATTTACACAGTGAGGGGGGGTGAACCCTGAGTCCCAACCTGAACCTACACAGCAAGAGGGGGTGAACCTGGGGTCCCACCCTGAACCCACACAGCGAGGGGGCTGAACCCGGGATCTCACCCTGAACCCACACAGTGAGGGGCTGAACCTGGGGTCCCACCCTGAACCCACATAGTGAGGGGGGTGAACCCAGGGTCCTACCCTGAGCCCACACAGTGAGGGGACTGAATCCGGGGTCCCACCGACTGAACCCACACAGCAATGGGGGTGAACCTGGGGTCCCACCCTGAACCCACACAGTGAGGAGGCTAAACCTGGGGTCCCACCCTGAACCCACACAGTGAGGGGGCTGAACCCGGGGTCCCACCCTGAACCCACACAGCAAAGGAGCTGAATCCGGGGTCCCACCCTGAACCCACACAGCGAGAGGGGGTGAACCCAGGGTCCCACCCTGAACCCACACAGTGAGGCAGTAAACCTGGGGTCCCACCCTGTACCCACACAGTGAGGGGGCTGAACCCGGGGTCCCACCCTGAACCCACACAGTGAGGAGGTGAATCTGGGGTCCCACCTCACACCCTGCAGCTAGAAATCGTGATCCTGGGACTGGAGCCCAAGCAATCCAGCTCTTGACACTAGAGGACGCTCCTCCCTGGCTGGGCGCTAAGCCTTTGGGTGGACAGAACGAGGGAGACAAGAGGGAGCCACGAGCCTCCTACCTGGACCAGCTGCTCTGTGGTAGGAGAGATGTCCATTTCTTTCCGCGTCACCCCAAAGCTCCCTTTCAGGCTCGTGTCCTTGACTTGCTGCTGCAGCAACGGCACCAGGTACCTCAAGGTGAGCAGCACCCCCAGGATGAGGAGGGTGGGGTGCTCGTCCTCCACTGGTACGAGCAAACCTGGAAGTACATCAACACCGGTTCTGAACTCGGGTTTCTCGGGCCCCAGAAGAGACGCCATCAGCAGGCCGTAGGGAGGGCTAGTGAGCGCAGTCAGAACGCTGACCGCCAGTGGGGAATGGCCCAGTCTGTGTGGGTACTGTCCATGGAGCCGAACTCGCTGTGCAAACTCCCACCACAAGCAAGGAAACGTCTCAAGTTTGTATGGCTCATGGTGCAGGCAGGACCCATGAGTGGCTTCTCTGTCTGTCTCCTATCACATGCCCATCCTCGGGTGGGCTTCGCCAATTGCCGCACGTGGACCTGAGACCTGACAGGGCGCTGCAGGGCTGTTGTCGGGCTGTGCTACTGACTGACCCCGCTGGATGTCCCCCACACAGCTGGCTCTGCACTGGGAAACGGCCAGGAGTCCAGGGAGTGTCTGCTTCCCGTGACTGCAGTGCTGGCTGACCCAGCGGCACGTACCTAAGAGCACATTCAGCAGCCAGCTGTAGAAGTATTGTGTCCTCCGGGAGTGCTGGCAGACGCTCACGGCCGAGCCAGCTGCCGTCCGCCGGATGGTCGGCGAGCCGGACTTCAGGTTCGCTATGAAGGCCTTGAGCAGAACCTAGGGACAAAACCCCAGCAGACACCATGATGTGTGTACAGCTTCACTAGCGTCGGGAGCTCCGGATGCTCGCAGGGAGGAGAGGTGTACACGTCTGAGACCTGCCCATGGCCGAGTGCAGAGCACGTTTTCCTCTAAGTGAGCAGTCTGGAGGGACTTGCTCGTAGAAGACCAGACACTGGTCACTAAGGCCTAAAACTCGACCCTTGGTCACATGACCCTAATGATGTGGCCTCTGGCTATTCCCCATCACACCACCCAAGGAACCCAGTGAAGCTTTCTGTCACAAGCTTTTATTTACTGACTTTGAATAGAGAGCCTTTTGTTACACCTTAAGGGCAACCAAGACAAAACCATCAGAAAGATCCAGAGGAGGGAAACGGTCAGCAAGCACCCAGTACAGAGGCTGATCGAGCCTGCTGACGTACAGTCACAGCTCCGTTACATACGACAGACGTCACAGGAAATCAGAACCAGATCAAGATTGACAGCAGGTCAAGTCACCAGCACAGGGGAGACAACAGAAACCAAGGCTACGCACACGACTGCAGGTTACAACAGGCTACAGGCCTTCAGTTACCTGGCTACATGTTGGTCAGCTGCAAGGTAGCTACAAGACAAAACCAGGGCCCCACCTTTACCATAAGTTAGATAACATGTATCTAACCGCTACTTTCAGTAAATGTGCAGGCAAGTAGCCAGGTCCCTATGCACCGCAGGCTCTTCCTGAGAGCACTCTGGCCCTCCTGGGACTTGCCCTGGACCGGTCTAGCCATCGCCACATAGACAAGTAACATGAAGAACTCAGGTGGAGCCTGGACTTCTGTCATGACTCAGAATGGAACCAAGGCTCCTGCTGTCGACATGGCCTCCCACCGCCCAACGCGTGAGAATTCACACTCTAACTCCTCCCTCCTCCCCGTCATGATGTCATCTACAATCTTTGGATCACATGGAGTATGATGTGCTTTCTTATGCACAGACTAGTTGTCTCTGAAAAACTTTTTAGTTGTACAAATGTGTCAACACCTTAAGAAACTCCTTGGGTCATTAAGAAAAGTGTAATAAGAATCTTTCCCTAATGGGCCAACCTTGTAAGCATGATGGAAAATGAGTCAACTGAAGTAATTTCGAATAAAAACAATCAAATTGAACCTGAGAGCTCAAGGGGTTCTTAGAAGGTCCAACTCGCTGTAGCCCCAAAGAGCCCCTCTATCTCCTCGACAACCCTCTACAGGGTCGCTCTGTGTGGGCACCGACTCGACAACACACCACCAACAACAACACTGGGTGGCACCGTGGGTTAGGCAGTGGGCTGCTAACTGGAAGATCAGTGGGTGAGAGATAAGGCCGTCTGTCTCCGTGCAGGTTAACCCATGTCTAATCATAGCAATAGCAGAGGGCAGAGAACTGCCCCAGAAGCTGTCCGAGGCGACATCCAGGTCTTCACAGAAGCAGAGTGCCCCATCTTCCCCAACACCCAGGGGCAGCTGGGGGTCTAACCCTTAACCCACGGCAGTACCAGGGCTTGTCCATACAGATGACACGCTGTGTGGAAGACTGCGGGGCACGTCCACTCTAGCCTGCAGGGTCACTATGCGTCGGAGGACAGTGGGCTTGTAGCCACACTGAAAACCACGGACAACGGAGCACAACCTTTAGCATCCTAAGAGAAAAAGATTTCCATCCCGGAACTCCACACCCAGCCCAGTGTAAGAGGGAAAAACAGGCATGCTTAGGAATGCTGACCTCAAACAACTCACTCCCACATCATCCTTTCTCTGGAACCTAGAAGATGTGATTCACCAAAAGAAAGGAACAAATGAAGAGATGAAGAAGGTTGGAGAAGGAATTCCCAGAATTCCAGTTTCAGCATCTTCTCTCCCTGTTAGTATTCACAGGGAAACTGCGAAGCCAGAGGAACAAACACAGGTGGCTAAATAATGTAGGCCCAGTGATGGCAGCCACCGACAGCAGCAGCAGCTAGCACCTGAGCGAGCACTCTGTGCAGGCGCCTCACAGGCATTACAGCCTTTGCCTTTCAAAGGCGCCTAAATGGAAACACAGACCTCTACCCTCAGAGAAGGAAGCCAGCAAACAGGCTTTCAGTGGTTCAGTGATTAGCAAAACGGCAAATAGCTAGACAAGAGGGCAGAATTGTAATCTGAGCCCATGGGCTTCCAGAAAGTGTTCAACACCACCACACAACCTTCCTGGGGCTAGGTGGGATCCTAGGCAGCAGCCTTCCCCAGAAAGACGAGGAGGCAAAGAGGTCTGCAATCCCGAGGCCATATGGGGGGCACAGTAAGGAAAACACTAAGAGGTTTGCAGCTTGCTCAGTGGAGGCAGAACAAGCAGGCACACAAGTGGGCCCTGACCTGGGGCAGGGATGGCAAGGCAGAGCGCCCACTAGGGGAAGAAGCAAATCTCCACCAAGCACAGTCTGCTCAGGGAAAGGGCCTTCTGAATTTACAACTACAAACCACCTTCCAATTCAGCCCTCTATGCACTACACTGGACAAATCTACGGCAAAGACCTCTTCAAAGTGTTGTTAGGGGGCAAATGTGCCACTTTGAGCACAAAGCACGCCTGACCAGCCCTGGTAGTTTCGATTGCCTCGTGTGCAGGTGAAAGTTGACAATGAATAAGGAAGACTGAGAAGAACCGATGGCTTTGAATCCTGGTGTTGGCAGAGAACAGTGGGTACTTCCGGGACAGAAGAACAACCACCACCTGTCTAGGAAGAAGTGTAGCCAGAACAGACAGAAGGCACATTAATGGGACTGCGTCTCTCAGTCTGTGGAAATGTCCCTCAAGAGGGACCAGTCCCTGGAATTGACAAAGTGAAGGGTCACTGAAAACAGAGGAACACTGGCATGGTAGAGCACAGATGGGTTCAAACATAACCATGGTGAGGGTGGTGAAGGAGCGGGCACAGGGCACAGGGCACAGGGCACAGAACCGACCAGACGGCACCTGCCGACACCAATCCAAACCTCAGTGTAAAGTGTGACCCCAACAAAAGCAGACGCAGAAAGCAGCTGCATGACTCAGTAGTTTCCATCCAAATTAGGACGCACAGGAGAGCCCACGCAGGACTGCCTTCCCAGGGCCGTCCGTTCCCGGCAGCCTCCTGGGGCTGTGACTCAGGGCAACAATCGTACCTTAATCTCATTGTCGTTTGCAAAGTTGCCAAAGGAAGCCATAATTTTGGGTATAGCTGCAGCCAGGGTCTCCTGAACGGACTCCTCGGACCTCTTGCTTATCCGGCTTAGACAAGGCAACAGGTTAACCAGGTAAGGCCTGTACAAGGGGAAAGAAGCTGGGTTACTCTCCCAGGCCTGCTGAATGAGAGCTATAGAACTGTTTTGATATGTGTGAAGAAAAAGCCAGTTCTAACACACAAATAGCACTCAGTGAAGACCGGGACCAGGACAAACATGGACTGAAAGAAGCTTGGACAACACGCAGGGGACGCAGCAAGCAGGAAGGTTGGGGGGGTAAGCCCCCACCCCACCCCCACCTGTTTCTCCTACATCACAGACTCTAAGAAGCTTGGTTTAAAATTCTGTGTAATTGGCTACAACACTATCAAAACACAAATTTATAATTAGAAAAAAACAGTAATTTTAAAAACAAAGGCTGGGCAACTTAGACACTGGCTATGTAAAATGAGGGGGCAATAAAGGCATGAAGTGATTGGCTTACAAGGTTTCAAAAGGGAGTTTAGTTTAAGAGGGTTGGGGGTAAGAAAGAGTCCCCACTGAATAGCTGTCATCTTGTCTAGATGGGTCTGGTTAAAAGAGATGGGGATAAGATTCGTAAGATTCAGTAGTGAATAACTGTTATCATGACTAATCGCGACTGTCACACTTGTAAAGGTAGAAGTTTTGTAATAAAAAAAAGGGGAGTGGTTAATCTTACAGTCCAGAAACAGAGGACCCTAGGACCATCAAGAGAGGAACGCACAAGCAGAATGCGGGACCTTATCCAGAGAAGCAGCAGTGCCAGAGATGGAGGCAGAGATGGGGCATGGAGAGTGGGAGCGGCTGAGGACTCTAGATTCATCAACTAAGAAGAGAAGGACTAAGAGCTGGAGGCCAGGAGCACACTTGCAGAATGTGCCCTTTGGAGATGTAATTTATTATATATGCCTGAGTGGGTTTTTTTGTTTGTATGTTTTTTAAAAAAGCTAAAGTGGATACAGAGAAATACTTTTTAACTGATGGTATATGGAGGGGATTATAACCAACGTAATGAAACAAGTTATATGAATTGCTGAATGTGAAACTGATGATGTGCCCTGTAAACTTTCACTCAATCCACATTAAAAACCTTAAATTAAAAACAAAAAACAAAGGCCAAAAACTGAGAATAAAGCTTTCTTGAAAAGGGAGAATAAAAACAACTGTGTGAACTCAATAAGGCTTTGGAGATAAGCCGCGGTCCTCCTGTGAATGCAGACTGGATGTGACACAGGAGAGGAGAATCTAGAGCAGACAGTGGCCACCAACCATGCAGTGGGCAGGATGTGGCGCCTGGCTGTAAACTGTGCGGAGAACGGTACCATCCTGCCCGCTAGCCGCCAGGATAGGCAGCATGCAGGTCCTCAGATGGCAGTTTGGTGCTGCACTGGTTAAGTGCTTAGCTGCTAACCAAAACCTTAGTGGTTCGAATCTACCCAGGGGCTCTGTGGGATGACAACTGAGAAGACCCGACAGGACAGTTCTATCCATCCTCTGAGGTCACACTCATGGGAAGAGACCAACACGTCGGGGCACAGGATGGCATGTATTACAGGGAGGTGAGGCTGAGGGGGCACAGCCATCCCTTCTGAGGGACAAAGCTGGCTGTGTGAAGAGGATGGATGGATGGATGTCCGGCTGTGAGGTCACAGGGCCACAAGGCCTGTGGAGGAGTCAGCACTTCAGGTGAACCACACCGAGAAGCCAGGAAAGAATTTTAAGGCAGGGACTGGGCACTACCCAAGTTACAGCAGGGGGCTCTAACACGTTTGTGGAAAAGTTCCATTCCCAGGAACTTTCTGAAGCCTGTTTGCGTTTACGGGGTCACTGGTGCAGCTGTTATGTGGTGAACGTGGGATGTGTCACTTCAGAGCTACAGCAAATTCCTCAAAATGAAGGGAAAAACCGAAACCCACCCCACTGCCATGGAGTCGACTCCAACTCACAGCGACCCTGCATAGGGCTTCCGAGGAGGGCTATGTCACTTCACAGGAGACAGCCGTACTGGTCTCCCGCAGAGCGGCTGGTGGGCATGAACTGCCGACCTTTCAGTGAGCAGTCCAGTGCTTATCCCACAGTACCACCAGGGCTCCTCAAAAGGAAGACAGTACCAGGAAAAGTGTTTCCTCAAAACTTCCTGAGTGGCTGTACCTCTGCAGCTAGATGAGAGTCTCTTACTAAAACTCAAAATACAACGGACTAACTCTCTGTTTCGTAACCGTCAGGGATCAAGCCAAAGATGCCTGAAACGGGGGCACAGTGCTGACTCAGGAGGCCCTCACAACTGGTTGGGTCCTAGCTTACGTCACATGCCGACAACGGCACGGCTTTCTGGAATTCCTCCAGCAAGCAAGAACAAAGCAGGTCTGTCTTCACCCTTCAGTATCGCTGAGACACTACTGCAGACATTGCTCCCAGGCTGAGCTGCTACGAGAACAGTCAGGTAAGAGCCCTGGTGCCCTGGTGCTCACTGTCTCAATGTCTCCAGGGCACGGTGGATGGAGCAAGTGTACAAGAAAGGTTCTGAGCGGGGGCAGAGCTAGGAAGGAGAAATGAACAAGACTGTGTGGACGCAACTGGCATGGAGCAGAGCTGGGCACTTAAGAAAAACGCAAACGTTTGACAACTTACCTGCACTTCTGCGGCCGAACCAGGTGAGCCAGCTCGGCAAACCTCCACAGGGCCGCGCGCAGACTCCGAGGAGCCCCATTCTGTGAGGGGAATGACACACCAGAATTAGGGTCACCGACAGGACCCCGTGGAAGCCAACTCATCTTTTCAGAATGCTAATTTCTACTTTCAGGAAAAAGGCCATTTCACTGAATAAAGCAGCTGACAGCAACTTTAGAAATGGTGAGGTCTAAAGGCAAGACGCTGAACCGCTGCCGGCCTAGAGGGCAGCGCAGAACTGCCAGCGGGGTTCCGGGACTGCGGATCTTTGCCGGAGCATAGCAGGCAGCGGTCTGAACTGCCGCCCTTCAGGTGGACAGCCAAGCTCTTGACCACTGAGCTACTAGGCGCCTTTCAATTACGTTATAAACAACAAAGTAAGGCACCACTTTTAATTCCCTCCCCAGCTACTAAAAATGAAGTTGCAACTTGTTGAAGAAAAGCCAAAAGTCTACTTTACCAAACAGAATTTCCTCCTGACATTTTCACTTATTAAGTAAAAGACAAACTTTCATACAAGCTATTCAGTATCATACAATGACCGATTTGCTCCATCATGGAAAAGATAAACTTACCTTTTTAATTTCCTTATAGAGTTCTAACTGCAACCTTGGGAGGTTGGAATCCATCAAAGCCTACAACAAAGCACATGACGTAAAAACGGCTGCATTAGCAGTTTGGAAGAAAGCGAAAGGGCAACCAAGTTTCAAAGTTGGGGCACAGTGAAACCCAACAGCAACTACACTAAGATCCCTGGGGGGCTGCATGCAGGACGTTCCTGAATAAACGAGATCTGAGTCAATTCTTTGAGGAAAATATGGAAAAAAGAAAAATGTAACTTTTATTATAAACTAGTAAGATATCAAAAATGAAAATGGTACATGATGGGGATTCTCTGAATCTTTTCTTTAACCTGGAACGACTATGCTGTCCGTCTTCACTAGAAGTTTACTCGGTTAGGAGTCCAACAGCAAACAGCATGCCCACAGGAGGTGAGTGATGTCTAAGATCAGCATGTGTTCCCGGCCCCCCAGGAAAATGTTCTGTCTCTCATCTCTCTCACTTAGCTTCACTACTTCTGTCCTTCCTTGAGCTTTTGACTGTGATTTGGGTGAAAGCGTCTACGTTTTGTTTCATGGCATAGACTGCAGTCCCGGGAGCACTTCTGAAGGGCTAGGCTGGCCTCACTGGCCAGTTCCCACGACCCGCACTTCCTGTTCCTCAAAGCAAATCTCTCCTCCTCCCCCTTCAACTCACTCCTAGGCCTAAACCAACAGTAATGCCTACATGGCCAGCTTCTACCCAGGACAACTGGCCATGGCACCCACACGCCAACTACACACAGACCGTACTAACTAGAGGGTGTCAAGAAGGTCTTAGGTCAAAGGAAGCTGATTCAGTAAGCTCGAGTTTCCACAGCAGAGGCACATGGTGGGAGGTTCTGAGGGTAGACAGCCTGGCCTCAGAGACGTGGCCATCTCAATTCTGATGTCTGTCTGAACGTACTAAATTTCCCAAACCAGACAGACATTAAAACATGAACACTGAAGCCATGTCAAAGTCTGATTGTTAACTCATACCAAATTTCCAAGAGAAGCCACAACTCAAGCCCCTGATAAATAGCACAGAATGGGATTTCTAGTCCTTCAGGGGCTGAGGGGTAACATACCACCTGGCTCTCCCCTCCACGCTTAGTGGCCACACCCAGCCCACACCCACCGTGCATCTCCCTCTATCTCTGTCTCTCTCTCACAGCCCCAACGCCAGCGTCCCTGTTCTCCCATGCCTATCCTGTCCTCAGCCGCAGCGGAGGTCCACCCGACTACTGCAGGCTCTGAGGCCATGGGGAACGGAGAGCAGCCACATCCCACGTGCCGAATGGGAAGCCCAAGAGCGAGGCTGAGCGAGCCCGGCCAGCCCTGTCCCTCCCATGTCTAGGGTCATGACATGAGGAGTGGACTCTGCACGTGGAGACCAGAAATGGAGAGGAAGGGAGGAAGGGCTGTGAGAGGACCCAAAGTCCACGGCCCATCGGTCCCTTCTGTCCAGCAGGTCTCGAATGCAGGGTGATGCCCAGTGTACAGTGGCCAACAGGAGAACACATTGTGCCTTTCTGGCCGCCCACCCAGCATGAAGAAGACAGCCTGTGGTGGGTCTCGAGCTTTTCTGATTCCGAGGGTTCAAGTTCAAGAACTGAGGCAGCATAAACAGTCCATCCTGGTCAGGAGACCCCGGGAAGCATCCCGAGAGCAGGCCTCTACAGCGCGCTGAGCCCTCGGCAACAGAACATCACCAACACACCAGGTGACCTCTCCAAAGAGGAAGGGGGCAGCTAGAATCCTCCAGGAGCCAGAGCGGCAACCACAGACGCTGTCTGGCCAGGAAGTCCTCTGCTGGACATGGGGACAGGATGTCGCAGACAGCTTTGTTCTTCAAGATCCTCAAGATGAAAGGAAGAAACCAGGTGACCCAGGCTGGCATTCTGGGCTCAGTGCGGAGCAACAAGCCACGTTCTCTCCTTCACCAGGGACAGAAAACAGTCTCTGGAGAAAGTTCTTCGGAGCTGGCACCGGTCAGCCTCCAAGCAGAACAATGTTTAAGACTGGACAGCCATTCAAAAACTCCAACCAGAAACTCCACAGTGCAGGTGACCAGGGACTGGAGGAGGAGGAGGGCATTAAGAAAGACAACTTCCTGGTCTCCATGGAATACAGCAGAATAGGGGAAAAAGGATTCCAGCGATGGCGCCTTGGGTACTGACTCTGAATGAGGACATCGTGCTCCCTTCCTCACCCCCACTGCACTGGCATGCTGGTCTCCTCATCCTCTTCTGCTCACTCCTACTAACTGGCTACCTGACCACCTGACCAATCACAGCTTTACCAGCAAGCAGCAGTGCCTGAGGCAGGCCCCAGGGGACAGGAAGGAGAGAGACAGCAGACACCAAAGACCCGCATTCTGGGGTTGCTCAGTCAGAGTTCCCCAGCGACCCAGGCACCGTGGGGACCACGGTGAGCACAGTCTACACCTCAGACGGCAGCAAGCACAGTGGCCCCTGCACACACGCTCACTAAGCATGTGCTGTTTCACTGTGCAACTCTGTGGCTGGAAATCGGAGAACGGCCAACGCAGGCCCAGCGTGCTTACTTTGATGACTCTGTTGAGACACTCGTCAGCCACCATGCGGACATCTGCCTCGGCGTCGTCACTGCACAGCAGAAACAGCTCCAGAGCGATGCTCAGCAGCTTCTGGAAGTCCGGAGAATTTCTAAAATCAGGAAGAAAAGTGCAAAGAGTGCACATGTCCCAGTCAACATGAGCCTTAGATGGGACTCCAGTGGGCTGCACGGAGTGAGAGCGCATCACTGGGACACTGATGGTGACAATGGAGGAGGGACAGGGGAGTGGGGTGCACAGGGACTGCCCAGAGGACATCACAATTGCTCCAAAATCGGAAACTGTTCTCAAATTAAGCACTTTGCAAAAGAAAGAAGAAAGGGAGGTTGGATTAGCAAAGCACACCTCAAGTCTGCGGCTTCAGTTCTCGCAGGAGCCCAGCGGGCAGGCTTCTCTTAGTCCGACTTACAGTGTGCCTGGAACCCTACAATCAGGTTCAGAGACGAAGCTCATTTCTCCGTCACCTGTTCTAAAGCCTCAGAGGCCTCACACTCAGCGAGACTCTGGTCAGCTCTGACCCACAGTTAAAGCCCTGACGGGGATACGGTAAAGGCGCCCAGCTGCTGACCACAGCTCTGGCCAGGTTTCGGCACATCACTGACGATATGCTCCAAGACGTGGAGTGTGGTCTGACCACCTGTGTCTCTGTGTTCTGCTTCATGGGCTTCTCACCTGCATTACGTCCAGCCTTTCCCACTGCTCTGGGCTCCACTAGTTAGGTAGAAGGTGTGGATAAGCACTGGGCCGAAAGGTTGGTTTGCACCACAAGGGCGGCAGTTCAAACCCACCAGTCGCTCCTTGGAAACCCTATACAGGGTCATTCTGAGTCAGAATCGACTCGCCGGCGCTTAACAGCGCCCAAGGTGGAAGGTGGTCTTTCAGCTGAGCCCCTTCTTCCTTCCTCAAATACAGTGTAACTCAGTGTCGTCAGGGTCCATCCTAGAAAGGGTCTGTGCGCACTGGAAATGGGCATGTCCTCTGCTGCAGTTGGGTGCACTGTTCTATAAAGGTCACTCAGGTTCACCCAGGGTCACTCCAAACTAGAAAGCAGAGACTCCTAAGTGGCTGCGGCGGTGGGCTCCACCCTACCAATGGTTGTGAGGCTGGTGCTGAACCAGGCAGTGTTTCCTTCTGTGGTTGAGTCATTACAAGCTGGAACCAACGTGGGCATTTCTAACACCACCACCACAATTTTCACTGTGGCTCTGTAGGATCAGCACTGGACTGCTAATTGCAGGGTCAGAGGTTCAAACCCACAAGCCGCTGCTTGGAAACCTTATTCAGGGTGGCTATGAGTAGGAACTGAAACAATGACACTTAACAACAACACTATCCAAAATAGTCAAAAGGGGGAAACAAACGAAATGCGGTACATGCATAGAATGGAATGAGTACTCCTCAGCCAGGAGGAGACAGGGATGGTGCTTGGAAGCTTTATGTTGAACAAAATGGGTGAATCAAAAAAGGACAGATGCTATCTGACCTCACTTATATAGACAGTGACAAGAAAAGGGAAATGGACAGAGAGCCATCTCTTAATTGTCTCTCGATTCAGAGGGCTGCAGTCCATGGCTCTAGATGGAGGGCCTTCTTTGGAATTCCTTGGCATTACGAGCCCCCCTGGGGTCTCTGCGTCTCTTCTGCTTTTAGCAACTCAGAGTTGATTCGATTGAGGAGTCACTGTACTCTGGTTTGATCTCATTCACATAACCAGAGAAAACACATATTTTTAAGCAGGGTCATATTTATACACACAGGTACTTAGGATCCCAACACATATTTTTGTGGGATACAATTCAATCCATAACACTCACAAAGAATCAAGAGGGTCTTAAAAGAAACTGACCTGTTCTGTGAACCAGTGAAACCAAGGCCAAGCTCTCTGGCTCCGGAAGCTCTTCTATTAGCTGCTCCTCTTTAGAACAAGAGGTATAGTGAGCTGCCCATAATATTCCACGAGAACAGAAAAGATGAACTCATGTGAAAACTACTAACAACTATTATTTTAAGATGGCAAACGACAACACAAATCAGCCGTAAGCTCTCTCAGCACACATTATTAATATGTGGGGTCTGAGCCAACAGTCCATCAATCCAACAGAGAATTATCAAACAAACTAGAAAGGGGAACGACAACGCACCAAGATCTCATGTCGGAGAGGCATCAGCACGTTTGTTTCCAAGTAAAAGAATCTTCTCGGAGACCAGGCTGCTTGGAGTCCGATGAACAGCAGCAGGGCATCAAATGTGGGTCAAGCCGCTAACCCACACAAAGTGAATTCACACCCTGGAATGGTCACTTACACCCGGACAGTGGACACCATTAACACACAGGACCCAGCTTTCACTCTCAGCTAGCTGATGAACACACCTGTATACTTCTTTATAGCATTTTCACATGGACCATCTGATCTCAAAGGAGCCTTATAAATCAAAGTTTACATTTCAGACGTGAAACAACAGAGGCTCAAAGAAGTTAAAACTTGACTCAAATCACTCAGCTTATAAATAGTAAAAAGAGGGCCCAGGGCAAATAGTGGAGTAAGCAGATACACAGAAAATGGTGACCCTGGACCTCTGAGCTTGCGAGGCCAGGACAGAGCAGTGGACCGAGAGAGCACTGAAAAAGCGGAGCAGGACCAGGAGAGAGACCAACAGGCGGAGCAGCATGGCCATCTGGAGCTCTCACAAGCGAGTCCAGGACGCAGCTGGGGGCTGGTGACAAGGGGGTGCAGCTCTCCCTTGTCCTGTCCCTTCTGATAGACGGGCACATGTCCAGTCCCCGCCCTCACCAACCCAGCAGCCAGCGACGCCCTCCTGCACGGTTTCTACTTTGTCTAGGGTCAGGTGTCAGACATCGGGCCCCTGCTTTTGGAAGCACATGAACCCTCCTGAAAACAGAGCACATGAACCGAGTACACACTTTCTGATCTCAACCACATCCATCAGCAGAGGGGTGCTGAGTGGCGGAGAACACACCTATATGCAATTTCAAATAAACATAAATACGGTACCCAGTGTCTCAGAGAAAGCACACAGTTTCAACTTACACAAAGAAACATGAGAGAATACATCAAATAAGTAAACAAAATATGGTCAGAAACTATAGCAACAGAAATGGTATTAGAACTACCTGACAAGGAATTTTTTAAAGAATGCTAATTAGGCAACTTGAATGGATTGTGAGAAAGAGCACGAAAACTCCAGATGAAATCAAAGAAAACAGACAAAACCATGGGACATTCCAGGAAACAAACTGACCAAATAATTGAAAAAACTGAGGACCATACAAAACCCGTAATTAGAAAGCCAAAAGATTAACACTATGGCTTCAGAAATTAGAGCTAACACACTGAAAGGACAAAGAGACAGAACTGAATCAATGGGAAGCAGAAGTACTGTGCTTTAAAAAATTCTCTCAATTGTCATCTCAATCAGGAACAAAAAATCCAAAGAAAGCCTAAAATGTCTGTGGGACACTATGAAGAGAAGTTTTGGTGTGGCGCTGCAGGAAAAGCCCCAGATTGCTAACTGTAAGGTTGGCAGTTCAAAGCCACCAGTGGCTCCTTACCATGAATCAGAACGGACTAGCCAGCATTTAACAACAAGAATAATCATGAGGAATAATTTATGAGTAATAGGAAATCCAGAACAGGAAGAGACCAAAATAACCCACAGAGAATATTGTCCAAGAATTGTTAGAAGAAAATTTCCTAACATCATAAAAGACAAGATGATACCCATTCAAGAAGCTGAACAAATTCCTAACATTACAGACTCCAAAGGAAAAACACCAACAAATATTACAACCAACCTTTCCAAAGGCAAAGACAAGGAAAGACTCCTGAGAGCAGCTCAGGAAAAACGAAAAGTTACCTACAAAGGAGAACCAGTAAGACTAAGCTCTGATTTCTCGGCAGAAATCATGCAGGAAAGAAGACAACGGAATGACATATATACGCCTCTGAAAGAAAAAACTGCCAACCAAGAATTACATACCCAGCAACACCGTCCATCAAATATGATGGCAAAATTAGGTCATTTTCAGATAAAACAGAAATTCAAATAATTTGTAAAAACAAGACCAATCTTACAAAAAACACTCCAGGGAGTCCTTTGGACGGAGAACCAAACACAGCAGACAACACCTGAGACTAACATATCACCATGGCTGCCGCGGGTTAAGTGACCCTACACAGCATTTCTGAGAAGTGGCTGGTGAGTCTGAATTATCAATCAAGCAGTCCAGTGCTCATCCTAGAGCACCACACAGGGCTCCAAACCCACATATAGAAGTATGTCAAGTGAAACAGAGGTATAAGACTGAAAACAGAGAACCAGAGATAGAGATGCAAGAAAAAATAAACCTAACTGTAACCCTAAAAACTAGACCAAGCCTTACTTTTAGTCCTAACCCAGCGCTTAACCTTAATAACAACCCTAGTCCTAAACAGGAGTCCTGGTGTGGTGCTGTGAGTTAATGTACAGGACCACAAGGTCTGATTGAACTGCAAGGTTGGCGGTTCAAATTCACCAGCTGCTCCTTAGAAACCCTATACAGGGTCGCTGCGAGTTGGAATTGACTCGACCACACTTAACAACAACAACTGTCCTAACCATAACCCTAACAATAAACAAAGGCCTAGGCCTAGACCTAGCCATATTTGAAACCCTAATCCTCACTCCTATTAAAAAAAAAAAAAGTAGTTGAGAGAGAATTCAACCTTTCTTTAAAAAAAGCACAGCGTGGTATTCGAAAATAGCATGCTAACTCAGAAGGTTTAGGGTTTTTATTTTTAGGACATAGTCTCACTTGCTATATCATTTTTTTCTCTCAATACTTCTCCAAATTAGAAATAAATATCGCCCACCATATTCATGAATGAGAGAAGAAGGTATATTAAAATGGAGTATATTATGTAAAATCACTTTGGAAAGTATGAACTACCAACGCAAGGCTACAGAAAAACTCGGTGAATCACCAGAAGTGCTAAAATCAAGATTCTTTTTCCCAGGATTTTTCTCTAACAGCTCACAAGGAGTTCTCTCTCCAGCCTCCAGCAGCAGAGTACCAGGAATTACTCATTCCAAGGGGAAAAGCCAAAGACAGAAGCACTTCCCACGTGTCCCAAGTGTGACTGCATTCAGAGATCACCGGCTCTTACACCTCCTACATCAGCCATTGGGAGAAGGAGTGAAATGTCTGCCCCTCCGCAGCCACCAAGAGCTATGTCAGAAAGAGATTCGTAAAGAAGGTGTCGCTAGTTCACACCAGCAAGAAAGGGCAAGTGAGGGAACCCGAGCTCCAGGACACCCAAAGAGTTGTTGTTGTTGTTATGTGCCGTGGAGTCGGTTCTGACCCATAGCGACCCTGCATAGGGTTTCCGAGGCTGTAAATCTTCACAGGAGCAGAAAGCCTCATCTTTCTCCCGTGGAACAGCTGGTAGTTTCTAACTGTTGACCGTGAAGTTCACAGCCCGATTTGTAACCACTACGCTAAGTAGATGAACAGAAATATCCAGGGCTGAGAGCAGAGTTTCCTACAGGGGAGAGGTCCGGTCTCGCTACGCCGCACTGGAAGGCGCAGTCCTCGTGTCGTACTGGAGGAGAAGCACCAGACTGCCAACCACAGGGTCACTGCTTCAGACCTACCAGCTGACTCAATGGCACTTACAACAGTAGCACATATTGTTTCACTTACTGCAAAAAGAACAAAAGTGAAAATACCCAATAAAAGGGGTTTCTGAAATAATGACACAGTGACCAGCAGGGCTACTTAAATAAAACCATGCTGTTCAATGATCATAATGGTTACAACTGTTACACATAAACTACAAAAAGGAAACATTACTCTTTAGAGTGTCTGGATATCTCTGATCAATAGCCAGGAATATGGAGGCAAATGGAGACACAAAGACCACTTGGGTCTAAAAGTAGGTAGCGTTTTCCTATTCTCTGGAGAGTTCAGAATGAGATTACCTGAGAGACTGCGCCACGATGTTTTCACATATGGTCAGACAATGATTCACACGGTCTTTCTTGGTGTTTAAGAGTTCTTTCTTTCTGAAAAACAAAAAGGGAAGAGGAGAGAAATGAACACATGTTGGATTACCCACTGTGTGTCTTTCCACACACTGACTAACTATGAGGAAGTCACTCTACACGTACCAGGGGACAGCTGGAGGCAGGACAGGGAGGCAGGAGAGGTGCTCTGCTCCAGTCTGTGAACAATGCGACCCCAGTACAGATAGGGGAAGTGACAGCAGCGGGTTGTCTGGGCTCCAGACAGAAGGAAACTTGAAGTCCACTGTGTGCCCAGCCCAGGTGCAACATCCCTAGCCACCATCCAACCTACAGAATTTAGAACCGCCAGCAGTGGCATCACTAGAGGGGTCAGAGGAGGTGACTGCCTATAAAATTTCTGTGCGCTGTCTCAGCAGACATGGACTCGTCTTTATAAAAATAACAACAAACACATTTTTCATAGGCCCAGTTCCCAGGGACAATATACCAACAAGGCTAAAAACGGTGCTCCAGCTTCCTGCACCTTCTAATGTACCCATCAGAGCTGTCATCATCACCCCATTACAGTGCTGCCTCAAATCACACCAACTACAAACACACAGCTGTTTGTGTCACTGCCAGGGGTTTATAAGTCACTGGTTTTGTCAGATTTCTGTTTCCTCCCATAAGGAATTCTGGCTGTTGCCGGCAAGGTCAGCCATTTGTTCCACAGAAGAAAGACGTGGCAATCTGATTCCACAGTGACCCAGAGCCTTGGAAACCCCACAGGGTCGCTAGGGGTCAGTGGGTTTAGTGAGCTACGTTAGCATGGTAAATAGTATCTATCAACCTTCATTTAAAAGAAGAAACCGACCCATTGCCATCTACTTCCGACTCCTGGCGGCCCTGAAGCACAGAGGAGAACTGCTTTTCCAGGGTTTCCGGCATGGTAAGTCTTTACAGAAGTAGACGGTCACACCTTTCTCCGGGACTTTGAAAATGAATTAATCATTATATGAAAAGGATTAATCAAAAAAGCCATCACTCAGTTAGTTACTAATAAAGTTCTATTCAACGTAGAAAAATTTTACCAAAGAACATTTAGATTTTCTTCATGGCAACAGTAGTGATGTTGGCCCAGGATCGGGCAGTGTTTCATTCTGCTGTGCATAGGGTCGCTAGGAGACGGTACTAACTCGATGGCACCTAACAACAACAATCTAAGAATATCAGGCAGCTTCAAAAAGTTCGTGGGATTAAAAAGAATGGAATTTCTTCAACAACTTCTTAAAGCGCCCTCATTCTACATTTAGGAGTCCTGGTGTGGCGCTGTGGGTTAATGCACTGGACTGCAGCGGTTTAAGCTCAACAGCCAACTCCTTGGAAACCTTTTTCAGGGTCCCTATGAATTGGAACTGACTGGATGGCATTTAACAACAGACTACATTTAAGCAAGGAGCTCTGGTAGCGTAGTCGTTATGAATCGGGCTGCGAACCACAAGGTCAGCAGTTTGAAACTACCAGCTGTTCTGCAGGAGAAAGATGAGGGTTTCTGCTCCCATAAAGATTTACAGCCTCGGAACCGACTCCACGGCACATAACAACAACAACATTTAAGCAATTTCTAACTATATTGATCATACGTTCTCATGTGAGTGAAAGACGGAAACTGATAATGAACATTATTACTAAGGGCTCTGGGTGGTCTGGGACAGGAGTGGGTATATGGTGGGAGGGGGGGCTGACACCATGACTTACCATACTAGATACCACCACCACCGTAAGTGGCGCCCACACACTCCTGTGAGCCACAGGTGTCTCCAGCCTTCCTTCGACTTGGCAGCCCCCGAGCTGTATGAGCCAGCCCTTGAGATAGCCTCTTCCTGTCTATCTGTCACTCACAGCTTGGCCCCTCTGCAGAACCATGCTGAAACACTGCAGCTCACAATCAATGGCAGGACATGGTCTACCGAGCAACTTCTATTTTCTTGTTCCGTCGCCAGGTCTATGATGAAGGGGTGAGCTACGATGACCCAAATATTCAAGTCAATGAGATCTAAGGCTCCCCGATGTATGCACCTCTTACGCATAGTGACCACGAGGGCAGAGCAGAACTGCCCCCCAGGACTTCCAAACTGCCATAGGTACAGATGCCTACTGTCTCACCTTTCAACGGCACAGAAGCTGGTGAGTTTGAACATATGACCTTTTGGTTCGCAGTCGAGCACTCAACCACTGTGCCACTAACACTCCTAATCTGGAAAGCGAGTCGCCCGATGCTAGGTGACTTATCCTGGCTCGCCCCAGACTTTCCTGGTTTTAGCACTGAAATGCCATGTTGTAGGAACCCCTCAGTTCTTGACACACTGGGACCCTGGGTCACCCTACCTGCCCAAACGCAACTCAAGGCCACACCGGACCCTGAGTGACTCCGTGTGTGACATAGTAGAACTACACTCCTCCCTCGAGTTCTCTTGCCTGTCATCTTATGGAAATGGGTCCTCAGATCTGTCTTCCACTGAGTGAATCTGAACTACCAACCTTTTGGGTAACCACAGCAAGCAATCCATTTGTACCACCCAAGGCCTCTGCCAGGATTTAAAGGGCGCCGAGCCACAGACTCGATTATGACTCATAGAAACCGCGCAGGGCTAAGTGGATTGCCTCCTAGCGTCTCCCAGGCTGCCATCTGCACCGAAGACCGCCATTGTTCTCTAATAGAGGAGCTGACGGGTTCAAACCACCCACCTGGTTAGCAACTAAATGCCTGACCCACTTCAGTCTGGGTCAAGTTGACGGCAATGGGCTACTATATGGGGGGGCTTCAAAAAGTTCATGGAAAAATGGAATTGCAAGATAATGGAATTATTAATGAACTTTTTGAAGGATGCTCGTATACACCAAAAGGAGTCTTGGTGGCTAGGTGCTTGGCTGCCAATCAAAAGGGCAGTTTGAACCCACCAGCCTGCTTCCATAAAGATTTACAACTTTGGAACCACTAGGGGGCAGCACTGCTCTGTATGGAGTCCTTAGGAGCTGAAATCAACTCCACAGCAACAGACTTGGTCTTTATATATACACACCAAGCTGCCTCCATTTCTCCAAAGTACATCATTAATTGACAGTAGTCAGCATACCACATAGGTCTCACAGTAACTTGTTGTCGTTAGGTGACACTGAGTCGATACCGACTCATTACGACCCTACATACAACAGAACAAAACACTGCCCGGTCCTGGGCCAACCTCACAATTGTCGCCACGCTTGAGCCCACTGATGATGCCATCCTGCCAATACATCTCACTGGGGGTCTTCCTGTTTTTCTCTGACCCTCTCCACCTTACCAAACATGATATCCTTCTCCAGTCACTGGTCCCTCCTGACAATATGTCTGAAGTATGAGAGACAAAGTTTGGCCATCCTGGCTTCCAAGGAGCACTCTGACTGCACTTCTTCAAACACAGATCTGTTTGTTCTTTTGGCAGCTCATGGCATTTTAAATATTCTCCTCCAACACCATAACTAAAAAGCATCAATTCTTCTATGGTCTTCCTTATTCACTGTCCAGCTTTCGTACACATATACGATTATTGAAAATAACCATGACTTGTGTCAGGAGCACCTTAGTCCTCAAGCCGACATCTTTGCTCTTCAACACTTTAAAAAGGTCTTGTGCAGCAGATTTGCCTAATGCAAAACGTCGTTTGATTTCTTGACTGCTGCTTCCATGAGTGTTGAGAGTTGATCTAAGAAGCATGAAGTCCTTGACAACTTCAATCTTTTCTCCAGTGATAAGAATGCTGTTTATTCGTCCAGTGATGAGGATTTTTGTTTTCTTTGCATTGAGATGCAATCTATACTGAAGACTGTGGTCTTTGATCTTCCTCATTAAATATTTTAAGTGCTGTTCACTTTCAGCAAGCAAGGTTGTATCATCTGCATATCGCTGGTTGTTAGTGAGTCTTCTTCCAATCCTGATGTCACGTTTTCTTCCTATAACCCAGCTTCTCGGATTATTTACTCAGCATACAGGTTGAGTAAGTATTGTGAAATAATACAGAACACTGTCACACAAATTTCTCAACTTTAAACCATTCAGTGTTCCCATGTTCTGTTCAAACAACTGCTTCTTGATCCAGATCCAGATTCCTCATGAGCACAATTAAGTGTTCAGGAATATTCATACTTCACAATGTTGTCCATAGCTTGTCATGATCCACACAATTGAAAGCCTTTGTGTGGTCAATAAAAGCACAGGTAAACATCTTTCTGATAGTCTCTGCTTTCAGCCAAGATCCATTGGACATCAGCAATGATATTCCTCATTCCACATCCTCTTCTGAATCCAGCTAGAACCTCTGGAAGTTCTCTGTCAATGTATGATTGTAGCCGTTTCTGTATTACCTTTAGTAAAACTTCACTTGCATGGGATATCAAATATATTGTCCAATGATTTCCGCATTCCGTTGGGTCACCTCTCTTTGGAATGGGCACAAATATGGATTTCTTCCAATCAGTTGACTAGATAGTTGTCTTCCAAATTTCTTGGCAGAGATGAGTGAGTGCCTCTTGTGCTGCCTCACTTTCTTGAAAGATTTCAATTTATGTTCCATCGATTCCTGGTGCCTTGTTCTTAGCCAATTCCTTCAATGCACCTTGGACTTCCTCCTGCAGTATCATTGGCTCTGGATCATATGTTACCTCTTGAAA